GAAGGTTTTTTATGGAATGTTTTACTCCCAGATACGTATTCGAATCTGTTTTAATAACAAACCCACAAATATAGTACATTGGAGTCACGAAACTCCTCACTACTGACAGTTTAACAGACACAGAGTGATTTCCAGCTGGTCAGCATTCATTTTAGCTCGAGCTCCACATCCCCTTAATCCAATGGAATCCAATAAGGTTTGCTTTAATAGCACAGTGCAACACAAGGGATCGGACTCCATAAACCCTGCATTCCAGGACAGCATCCCTGACCCAGTGACCCACTTCTGACAGGGGTTAAGGAAAGGTACATCAGACAGGGAAGTTCACTCCTGTCATTCACACAACCTGTGCAACTGTTGAAGATACAAAAGCTTCAAGCCACAACTGTTCCTCCCAGATTTACACAGCTGAACAGCTCCAGTGAAAGCAAAAGCCCTGGCAAGCCTTGACTCCAGACCTTCCTTCAGCCTATTCCCAGCAAAACCACAGCATTCCCTCAAGGAACAGCCCTTTGCAGCTTGCAGAGCAGCAGCTCTATAAGGAGCAGAATGTGCCCCAACTGGCATCCTTCACTGTCTGGGTAGTCTGGATGAAGTGTTCAAATCCTCAAGAGAATCTAAGATTTGAGAGAGAGGTGAAAACCGTAGATTTATGGAGGTAAAAACCCCAGGAGCTGAGCCTTATCAGTGGGAATGGCATTTGAGATCAGGCTCCTGGAATCCATTTGGGATCAGACTACTTCAAGCAGGAATTAAAAATATGATTATATATGTACATATGTATACACACACATTTTTACAATGTATACTATTTTTCCAACAGCCACTACAGGTAGGCAGTGTTAACACAGCCTTCAGTTCTCAGCTGAGCAAGAAAAAGCCATAAAAAACCAGGAATATCATTAAGCCCCCCCCTCAGTAGTCACACTGCCCCCTCAGCCCTCCTGCCTGGTCACGATTCACCCTCTGCAGAGAACAAAAACAGCAGACAAAGCCCCCATCCAGACTGCTCCAAAACAAGCTCCTTCTCCCACAATCCTGACAAAATGAAGAGACAACCTTGCTAAAATAAGATCCTGATGTGTATTTATACTTCTGCCACAAAATGTTATTTATTCATCATCTTATTGGCAAGTCTTCCCGATATTCAGAAGAAGCCCCTCCAAGAATTGTGTTATCCCTCGACTCCAAACCCAGATTTCCCTAAGGGATTCAGGAGGAGGATTTCTGTACTACTCCAACCTGCCCCCTCTCTATTCTCTATGATTTCATTCCAGCTGCTGAGCAACACCCACGACAGCCCCTACGTAACGTACGATCCCCATTACGCTCCGTGCACGCGTATCCTGCAGGAAACCAGGCTCAGAGCATTCCACTCTGAACTTACACCATCCCAGGTTCTCCTCTTCCATCCCCAGGCACAAACCTCTTCCCAGCACGGAGCGGTTTCGCCGCAGGCAAAGGCGGCCAAACCAGCACATTCCAGTCTTGGTCCCATCACCGCATTCCAGATTCATTTTTTTTAACGGCATTTGCAACAGCTGTAGTGGGAATGCAAAAAGACACCCTCGTGGAGGCTACTCCACAGATCCCAGGAAGTTAATTCTGGCTCTGGTCAGATAATGGGAGTCAGCTTCACGCTTGTCCAGCGTGCCTTAAAAAAAGCAGGAGCCGCGCGGTAGTGGGATTAGGGATCAACAGGGGAGAAAGCTCCCTGATTTCATCTAAGGTGATCCAGTCTGCAGTGCTCCTTGCCAATCCCCTTCGGCATTCCCAGCCCTGCAAACGTTTTTCCTCTGCATTAACAAAGCAGGGAAAAGTCTGGGCAACTTGAGCTTTGGTTCCTCATATTCCCAAAAACCAGCCCCCCACGTGTATCCCCTCCTCTGTCCCTGCCGGCATCGCTCCGGCGTCCCCCTCCCCAGCGGCTCACTCGAGCGTGCCACTGCTTGGAGTGTTTGTGCGCGGCTGAAGCACAATCATTCCTTTTGCCTGACTCCGGGAGAGGAAAAATCCAACTTGCCAGAGGAGCATCTGCATCGAGCACTGCCTTTGCTGATGGGATCAGCACTCGGGAGCATCAGGGGAAAGCAGGAGAAAGGGTCGCGGACCAATTCATCATCCTCGCACGCATGACCCGCAGACATCCCCCCCCCCGCCATCCCCCAGCCCAAACCTCAGCCGTAAAATACCCATAAAAATAGAATAAACCCCCAAGCAGAAGTTGAGAACAAATGTGCTTTGAACGCCGCACAAATGACATTGAAGATGCAGAAGAAATATGAATTTGCTGTTGCACTGCACGATTCCAGGGGCTTATTTCCTCCGTACACATCTCACGCACCCTTCCCACGCACGTCCCCTCCCCTCCACCCCCGCGGCTCCTTCAAAAAAAAAAAAAAATAAAATCGGGAAAATAAAAATCTTTGATCCCTAAGGATTATTTTAAAAGCTACAAACCCAAATCGACCCCTATCTGCAGAATCTTCCCTACAGCCTGAGCCGTCGGTGGGGTGGAGGGGGTGTATCCAGCGCTCTGTGGCACAACCCGGAGCCGGTCCCTCCGCCCCCCATCCCAAATCTCCCAGGTTTTCCACGTTACTAACCCGCGTCCCAGCTCAGAGGACGCCGGGCCATGCCGGGTCTTTACAGCTGTCCTTACACCACCTCTTTCCGTAAGCCCGACATCTCTGTGGCAGTGTTTGCATCCACAGGCTCTTTCATCCTGGAGAATCCCTCCCTGCCTCCTCCCACCGCTCTTTTTGGGGAGGATAACGTAATTTCCAGCACACGCTGGAGGATGCTTTTTTATTCCTGCTGAGCCCGAGGTCACTTCCTAGACCTCTCCTCTGGCCAGCGTCTCCTCCACCCCAGGACCTCCCTCCGGAGGGAACAGTCCCTTCTCCCTGACCTTCAGCCTCACAGCGGCGGCCCCACCGCCGTTCCCACCGAGGAGAAGGTTCCTTCTCCCTCCCAAGCCACAGCCGAGGCATCACGCTGCGTTTTTCCACTCCCTTAATCTGCTCCTTCGGCACCGGAGGGGTGGTCAGAGAGCCAGGGGGCTCCCGCTCCGCCGGCTCTCGGGGATGGAGGAGACCCTCACCTTCTCCTCACCTACGGGGGGTTTGATCTGTCCCAAGGGGACATCAGCCCTCTGGAATGGGCACATCCCAGCGCTCGGTATTCGGGGGTCCGCCCCCCACGCAGACCCTCTCTGGAGCAGCCTCTGTGTTCTGTGGGGTCTTTCTCTGGCTGTCCCCGGGCTCCAGGAGGGAGGTGGTGGGGTGAATTCCCCCCCTCCCAGGGCCACAGGAGCTCCTTCTGCAGCGCTGCCGCTGCGAGGGTCACCCCCAGCCCCGGGCCTGCCTCCACAGGGGTGTCCCCCCCATTATCTCCTGTCGGGAGAGCAGCTCCATGACCCCTTCCTCGTCCTGCCCTATGTGTGTGGGGCAGCGTCTGCAACCCCACAGAGCCAGAATCCATTCCATGCCATGCCATGAGGGGCACAGACCCACGTCCCCTCCAGACCGTGAGATGACAGTAAGCCCATTCCCCTCTCCCCAGCCCCACACACTCATTTGGGGGGCATGTCTACTCCCTCTGGAGTTCTTCCCCGAATATCCAGGTGGGGGGCATCGACCCATGTCCTGTTTGGACCGACAAACCCCACTCCTCCCACCTTAGCCCCAGAGACACATTTTGGGGGAACTTTTCTTCCCCTCAGCACAACGGGGGGCCCTGACAGCTCCTCCACTGTGGGGAGCACTGGCAAAGGTCCACCTTGGACCCCCATGGCCCCCAACTCAACCTCAAAGGCTCATTTTGTGGGAATCACCTCCCTTTGCATCTCTCCTCACCCAAAGTTGGAGTAACCCCCCAATCTCTGTGGGGAGGGGCATCACACTGACCACAACCATCTCAGACCACAAGCTGACAATGACCCCCATCTGCCCCACCTTAGCCAGGGACAGCGACCCACTCCACCTCAAAGCATGAGATGACACTGATCCATGTTCACCCCAGACCACGAGGTGATGCTGACCCTTGTCCATCTCAAAGCACAAAGTGACACTGACCCATGTCGCAAACAGACCACAAGCTGACAATGACCCCCATCTGCCCCATCCTGCCCAGGGTGGGACTACCTCAAACCATGAGGTGATCCATGTCCATCTCAGACCACGAGCTGACAGCTCCCCACCTCAAACCAGGAGGTTACACTGACCCACCTCAAACCAGGAGGTGACACTGACCCACGTCCACCTCAGACCACGAGCTGACAATGACCCACATCTGCCCCAGCTCGGCCAGAGGACACTGACCCACGTTCACCTTGGACCAGGAGGTGACACTGACCCATGTCCACCTCAGACCAGGAGACAACACTGACCCACATCTACCTTGGACCATGAGCTTTCAGCTCCCCATCTTGGCCAGGGGACAGTGACCCACCTCGGACCACGAGGTGACACTGACCCCCGTCCACGTTAGCTCACGAGGGGACACTGACCCACCTCAGACCAGAAGGTGATACTGACTCATCTCCACCTCAAACCATGAGGTAACACTGACCCACGACCACCTCAAACCACGAGGTGACATTGACCCACGTTAGACCATGAGGGGACACTGACTCACCTCAGACCAGAAAGCGACACTGCCCCACGACCGCCTCAAATCACGAGGTGACACTGACCCACCTCACACCGAGAGGTGACACTGACCCATGTCCACGTCAGACCACGAGGGGACACTGATCCACCCCAAGCCAAGAGGTGACACTGACCCACGTCCACCTCACGCCGGGAAGTGACACTGCCCCACGACCACCGCAGACCAAGAGGTGACACCGACCCACGTCCACGTCCGATCATGAGGTGACACCGAACCACGTCCCCCTCCCGCCGGGCGCTCACACCCCCCCGCCACGGCCGCGCTCCCGAGCCCCCCGCGCCGCCCGCCCCGCCGGGGGCTCGGCGGTGTCCCGGGCCGCCCCTTACCTCCACACCTGCCCCATCTGCAGCAGGTGGATGACGGACTGCCAGACCCAGACGGAGATCCTGCAGAGGCGCTGCGCCCCGGGGGTGACGGTGCCGGCGGCTCCTCCTACCCCGCCGGCGGGTCCCCCGCGCCGGCCCGCGGTCCCCCCCATCATGGGCGGCCCGCGGCTGCTGAGCCCCTGCACGGCGCCCAGCCCGCCGCCCGTGAAGTCCTGCACGAACCAGCGGAAGCTCAGGATCTGCACCAGCACCGAGGGCAGCAGCACGAAGGCCAGGGTGAGGCCGCACCACAAGTAGTCCCGCCGGCCGTAGTGGTGCAGCGCCAGCCACAGGTCCGTGCCCACGTCCCCCAGCAGCACCAGCAGCGCCAGCACGATCCACAGGCAGTCCAGCCACGGCCGTTCGGCCGCCTCGCCGGCCTCCGGCGGCCCCTCGGCGGCGGCGGGGGGGCGCGGGGCCAGCGGCTCGGCGGCGGCGGTGGCGGCGGCCGCCCGCCCGAAAAGGTTCCGCAGGCAGGCGCTCCGGCAGCCCCAGTAGCAAGACGACGTGTTGCAGCAGTGGCAGATGTGCAAGGAGCTGCTGCCGCCCGGCTCCTCCGCCACCTCGGCCGCCGCTGCCCCGACGCCGCCGCCGCCTGCGGCCGCCGCCGCCTCGTCCAGGTTGTGCAGCTGGGCGAAGCCGCCGCCGCCGCCGCCGCCGCCGCCGCCGCCATCCGACTTGGCCGCCATCTTGCTGCCGCCGCCGCCGCGTCCCCGGCCCGTTCGCCGGGCGCTCGCTCGCTCGGCCCCCCCCGTGCCCGCTCCCCCCGCCCGCCGCTTCCGGGGGCGGCGCTTCCCGTGCGCGGGCCGCGGGACGGGCCGGGGCCGCCTGGCGGCGACAGCGGCCGGAGCCGGGAGGGAGCCTCGGGGACCGTCGCGTTCCAGCCCCCGTGCCGCGGGCGGGGGCGCCTCCCGCCACACCGCGTTTGCTCGGGGCCGTTCCCCCTCGTCCTGTCGCTCCGTGCCCGATAGTCCTCAAGGAGCGCCCCTGCGGAATCGTTTAGGTTGGGAAGGACCTCCGGCATCACTTGAGTCCGGCTAACCCAGCGCTGCCGCGTTCACCCCTAAATCGTGTCCCCGGGTTCCACACCTACACCGTGTTTTTTAAAAAAACCTCCGGGGATGGTGACTCCAACCACTGCCCTGTTCCGTTGCCTGACCACCCTTTCCATGAGGAACTTTTTCCTGATATTCCAATCTTAACCTCCTCTGGCACAGCTTGAGGCCATTTCACAGAACCACAAAATCGCAGGACCGCTTAGGTTGGAAAAGACCTCCAGGACCATCGAGTCCAACCTGTGACCCATCCCCACCTTGTCACCCAGCCCAGAGCGCTGAGTGCCACGTCCAGTCATTCCTTGGACGCCTCCAGGGATGGAGATTCCACCACCTCCCTGGGTAGCCCCTTCCAATGTCTAATCACCCATTCTGTGAAGAAATTCCTCCTAATGTCCAAACGTGAACCTCCCCTGACATAGCTTAAGGCTTAGGTACTGGAAGGTGCTCTAAGGTCTCCCCAGAGTCTTCTCCACATCAACCCCAGGTCTCTCAGCCTTTCCTCTTAGGAGAGGTGTTCCATCTCTCTAATCACCTTTGAGTCATGGAATTTTCATGGAATCATAGAACATCCTGGGTTGGAAGGGACCCACAAGTCCCACTCCTGGCCCTGCACAGGACACCCCAACAATCCCATCCTGTCCCTGAGAGTGTTGTCCAAACACTCCTTGAGCTCTGGCAGCCTTGGGACTGTGACCACTGCCCTGGGGAGCCTGTTCAGTGCCCAGCCACCCTCTAGGGGAAGAACCTTGTCCTAATACCCAAACTAAACCTCCCCTTATGCAGCTCCAGCCTCGGGTCCTGTCCCTGGTCACAGAGATTGGTGCTACCTCTCCACTGTCCCTCGTGAGGCAGCTGCAGACCCTGATGAGATCTGACCTCAGTTTCTTCTTCTCTTGGCTGAAGAAACCCAATGACATCAGTTGCTACTCATATGGCTTCCCCTCAAGATCCTTCACCATATTCCTGGCCCTCCTTTGGACATTTAAAAAAGTTCCATTGTGCTTCTTCTCCCAAATTCCATGTTCTGACACCAGCATTCCCCAGACCATCCTCAGCTTGGATCCCCTTGTGCTGCCTCCATCCCATTCCCAAACTAGCTCCCCTGTCCAGTGTCTTGACCCTCAGATCCATATTCTGAAATGCAACTGCCCTGTCCCTGTCACCTGCTTACCCTCACATCCCAGGACCACCACTCTGCCACCCAGGCTGTCCTCAGTCCCATGGCTGTGCTGGAGAAGGGGTGCTCCTGTCCCTCCTCATTTCACAGGTCCCCCTCCTTTACTCTGAAGGTAGTGAAGCACTGGAACAGAGAGGCTGGGGCTGCCCCATCCCTGGAAGTGTTTAAAACCATGTTGGAGAGAGCTTGGAGCAACCTGGGATAGTGGAAGGTGTCCCTGCCACGTCAGGGATTGGAGCAAGATGATCTTTAAGGTGCTTTCCAATCCAAACCATTCTGGGATTCATTCTGTGATGATGGTGACACTCTCCAAGCCCACCTTGCCATCCCACCCTCACATCACCTCACTGCCCTTCCAAACACCCCACCACAGTCTCTTCCTTTCCTTCTAATGCAGGGATCCCACATCCTCTCTCTCCTCTGCTCTTGTCCCCAAAGTTTCCCACTTTGGGGGACACTGCTTCTCCCACCCTGTTCTTATGGAGTCAGGCAGACCAACCAGCTCCTCTCCATGGGCTCAGCTCCGTGCTGGAGAAACCTCTGACAAGCTGAGGAAGCCACTCCCTGCTCTGTTTTTGGGATCTGCCTGGGGCTGAGCTGCACCCCAGGCAGCTGAAGAACCCACTGGCAGGCTGGGAAGCCAAATTCTAGGTCCTTCCTCCCCAGTTCCCCGTTACACATCTGTTCATTCATCATATCCATCTTTTCTGAGCTGTCTTGTGCTGTCCTCTGTAGGTTACAATCTTCCCTCTTTACCATTTGTGCTTTTTCCCCTTGCATAAGGATGCTCTTTCCAGATTCTCCTCCAGCTGCTGCTTCTACCTCTTTCTATGGGAGTTTGAATCCTACCCTTTCTCTCTTGCCTTTTTCTTTCAGCTGTGGCAAAAATCAGGGCTGGGAGATTCAGGACTTCAGAACTGGCTACCAAAGTTGCTGCTTTGCAGAGTCTAAATTTCAACCTGGAAAAAAAAAAACCAGCTCCCAGAAGCTAGAAAAGTGCATAAATGCAGATAAAGTGCTTTTTTGCAGGGAGGAAGAGTTAATTTAATCCTAAGAGAAGTGGGATGACTTGCATATATTAAATAGGCTGTCTGAGAAGGGTGTACTTGGCGTTTCCAAGTTGAAGGAGCTCAAAAGTTTTGTGAAGTCTGAAAAGTCCTGCTGGTTTTGAAATGGTTAGATCCTTCTACAGCAGAGAAACAGAAGAAAAGGAGAGGAAAACAAAGTTTTTGGCATTCTCCAGGTAGATTCACCTGATGCACACCTGGATGCGACCAAACTGAAGTCAATTGGAGTGAAACTCTGGCAAAAAGTTCTCCAAAAGGAGAAAACTGGTATTATCTATAATATTATATAAAAGGATTGGAGAGGATGTGATCCCACAGGTCCCCATGATAATGAGTCCAAATGTTGCAGATATTCTCTCTTATTTTCTGCCAACTTAAGCTACTGCAAGATTATGGAAATAAATAAGACACAAACCAGCCCTTCACGTGCATAAGACATGTATAAAAATATATAACATAAAATCCCTCTCCTGTTGGACACTTAGAAACCTAAATATGGCTGTTAATTCTCCCAGCAGTAGGAAATAAGGACTCTGGGACCCGTATTCTTGGGTGGGAAGCACCCAGATTAAGCTTCAACTTCTGATTTGCAGCACAAGGAGATATAAATGGAATCATTCCTCATCCCTTCAAACTTTTCAGTGTAGCAGATTTGCTCCATATGATTAGAAAGAGGGGGGGGAAAAAAGCAAAAGCAAAACATCACAGAAGTAATAACACTATTTGGCATTATTATTTAAATAGAAGTGTAGGTTGGACGTTGCACTACACGAACCAATAAGGGGGCAGACGACTCATCTGTTTTGATACAAAAACAACCCAAACTTGTGTGATGAGACATTTGGGTGGGAGAAGGCAGCAGTTGAGGGTTTTGGCACACGAGATGAGAAAAGCAGCTGCTTGGGCAAGAGATGACATGATACAGCGCACTGTTGGCGCTGCCTCCCAATTTCTCGGTGCAGTTGTGACCACCAGTGTCCAAGAAGGGCACAGTCAGGCTGGAATTTGTTCAGGGAAGAGCCAGGCTTTGAACAGAGGTCAGGAGAGTCTGTCTTTCTCCTGTGGGCTGAAAGAATTTGGCTTGTTTAGTTTAGCAAAAATAAGATTGGAGAAGGAGTTTTCTGCCTATAAATACACACTGGAAAGTAAATGCGAGCGAAGGGAAAGGCGCTGGGACACTGAAGGGCAGTGGTGGAAAAGCAAATGAGTAGGAACTGGCCAGGAATATATTTAGTCTGGAAATCGGAAGATCTTTCCAGTAGGAGTAGGGGAGACTAAAATAAAAAATGTAGCTCCTTTTAACACAGAGCTTCATAATCTTATCAGGGAAAGTGCGTGCCAGTGTGGAACGATAAACAGCTGGGATGAAAGCCCTTGAAAGGTCTTCCATCCCAGATCGTCTCTCCTTGGAAAGATCTTGTCCATTTTGATGCATGGAACGCTACGTTCCTTCCTGCATCAGGCGATGACTCATGGATACATGACTCTGTGGGTGGCCAGAAGTGATATCTCCACCACTTACATCTTAATTCCTGATTATCCCATGATGTTCTCCAGCTACTGCTCGCTCTCCTAGCACACAGCAGAGATGCAGCCACGTCCAGAGCTCCTCACAACTCCCCGATTTCCATGGTAGCCACAGCCACAGCTGCGTGGTGGCTTTGACCAAGGACAGGGGAATGGTGTTTTGCCCTCTCAATCAACAAGAGCTGTTCCCTTGTAGCCCTGACCCTTCCAGAGAGCTGGAAGTCATTAGTCAGAGCCTGTTTCTTTTATTAGCCAACACCATGATATTTTTAGGGATTTTTGGGAAGTTGTGAGTGTCAATCACACCCATGTTGAGATCTCTCAACTCATATTTTTGAGAGGAGGAAGCTTTTTTTGGCGCTCAGCACCATCCCACGCTTCCATCGCGCTGGAGGCGCTTCTGTCCGGAGCTCTGGGTAAACTCTGGGTGACCCTGAGATCTGCAAGTATTTATAAAACATGTTTAGCCAGGGTTTTTCCCTTGCAGCACTGGGAGCTGATCTGTCTGTGCCTTGCATTTCATGCTCTCTCTGTTCTCCAGAAGCACCAGCGAGGCACCAGGAATGGGAGGAGTGTTTGGTGCTCCGGCAGCACCCGGCATGGGATCACAACCTCCCTGTGCTGCTTGGCTAAAGGCTTTTTTGGTCCTGATCAATACACTAATTGAGCTGTGTGGTCTTCCATCTTCCAGGCATTTATTCAGATCAGGGGAACAAACACTATATATAGAGAGGTATGTAAGCCAGAATCAGAGTTGTGTAAATCTGGAAGTACCTCATTTAAATAAACTGGGGGATGGATCCAGCTGAGTGTTTGGTGTACGTGGAGTACAGGTAATTACAATTAATGGGGATTTACTTTAAGCAAAGTAGGTCAGAAAAAA